GGGACGAAAGTAGTATATATTAAATAATATATTTTTAAAAATGTTATATTACATTTAAAAATAATTACGAATATTAGAGATTTAATTAATGGACTTATATGATTAATAATATATTAATTACAAATGTTGTATAATAGAAATAATATTATTATAGTCAAAAAGTAAAATAGAGAGTGTGAATAATAGTTCTCCAAATTTGAAGAACTTCTATTCACCTCTTTATAATTGAAGACTAGAGGGTGAAATAGAGAGTGGTTGGAGAGGGAATTCTCTATTTTACTCTCCAAATATAGAAAATGGAGAGTAAAATAGAGAGCGGTTGGAGATGGTCAATTGTTATTTTTTTTTCTTCTTTCTAATCTTGCAAAAACATTGTTCTTACCTTTTTTTCTAATTCTGTAAAACAATACGTAAAATAATAAATAAAATAATAATACATAAACTAAAACAAAATATAAAACTTATTATTTAAAAACAAAAAATAAAATTATTAAATGAAACTTAACCAAACATATGAGATATTTTTTTTTTTTTTTGAAATGATGAGATATGTTAATTAATTAACAAGAGATATATTGGTTGGTGTATATATATATAGTCTTGAAAAATAATAATTTTCTCCTTTTACTTTTTTTACGAAGTAGAATCTTTTAGCTTCTTTCTAATAGTAGAAAAACTACGTTTGCTTCAATTTAAAAAGAGTTTTGCAGGTTTGCCAAACAGTTAATTTTTTAATAAAAATATTATTTTTTTTACTCAAAATAAGTGAAGCTCCCAACAACAATATCAAACAGGCTATAAATCTCTAACCCAAACTAATTCAATACTATTAAACCTAATTCATGGGTCAATATAGTCAATACGTACAATCATTTATTAAAGAAGACAAACTCACAACAAACCTGTATAAAGGGAAATTAAATCTGAAAATGAAAGGACTTGATTGCTTATTATATATACTAATAATCAGTGGTCTCACTACCAGAACATAAATAACTTTTAAAACATCCTTAAATCAAGATGTCTGAAATTGTTCCACAAAATGGAGAGGTTTTTTTGACGTGGGAAGATTTGTGGGTGACGGCTTCAAGCTTGAAAGATGGTAACAAAGCCATTCTTAAAGGTTTAACAGGCTATGCAAGGCCTGGTGAGCTCTTGGCTATCATGGGCCCTTCTGGCTGTGGCAAATCTACACTTCTCGACACAATTGCCGGTATATATATATTTCACCACCTAGATTTAATATATACTACTCGACCAAAACATTAAAAAAAACTTTTAATAATGTCTGTATATAGAAGTTAAACTCCAGAAACAACCCCACCCAAGCAAACTATTTTGATTAGCTATTTATTTATGTTATTAGGGAGATTGGGATCGAGCACAAGGCAGAGTGGAGATATTATAATCAATGGTCGCAAACAAACACTGGCTTATGGAACCTCTGTGAGTAAAATTTAAGAATCAATTAATTACTTAGCTTGGAACATAATTATTGCTCTAATATAACACGATGATAAGTATGTATTACTCCTTTGTGATACAATATTCAAAAGAAAAATGTGCATGGATTTTGAATTTAGGAACATGTATGTTATAAACATGTACATGGCTTCTTCGATAAAATAGAGGCAATTAAGAAAGTATAAAGGGGAGAGGGTTTGATATGTCTCTCAACTTTGTGATTTAGAATTGATATATCTCTCGTTATAATAAAGATGGTTTTGCATATGGTTCCGTTACACAAATGACCCAGATGTACATTTACCGTAACATAAGTGACCCGGATATACCTTTTCGTCTAGTGAAAGGTAGTGAAAAAATTAATTTTAAATTATTTTATTTTTGTAAATATCTCCTTTATAGATCTTTTTTTTTTTTGTCGTTATTTGATTTTCTTAATTTTATTTCATTTTTAATGTAAAAATATGAAGAAAAAAAGAAGAAGTGTGAATGGAAAAAGAAAAAAAAAAGAAACAAATAAAAAAGTAAGAAAAAAAATTAAGACTAGTTTTTTGTGTGGATATATTGTAATTTATTTTTTGTATCTATAGAAAAGTTAGAGCATTTATGATATATTTTACAAGAAGATGAGTGAAATATAAATTTGAACATCAAAATAATAAACTTAAATTATTTGTTAAATTAAAGAAGACAAAAAAAAAAAATGTTTGAACAGAATAAAAAAATACCTCCTAAAATTGTGAAAAGATCAAATATATACCTAGATGAATTTTATTTTTGTAATAAAAAATAAATTAAAAATATACTTTTCCACTTTCAATAGATGAATAAAGGTTTATCTAGGTAATTTATATAACGGCAAAAGTATATATGTAAGTAACATTTAGAGTTAATATCAGTAAAGATCACTCAATTTTGAGAATTTATCTAGCAAATCATTAAACTTTGTTTTGTATCAATAAAATCACTTAACTTTGATTTTTATATCAATAAAATCACTCAATTAAATTTTACACCAAAAAATCTAATATGGCAAAATAAAATATTTGTTTTATGCCATATAAATATAAACCCCACAAATAAATAAAATTAATTTTTTTTAATGAGTATATCAGCTCAAAACAGGCTACAGCACAAAATATTTTGATCTTTCTGCTCGAGAAAAGAAATCAGATTTTCTTTTGTAGGTTAGAGTATTTGAGACATAATTAATCCTGGAATTTACTAGAACGCAAAAAACAAATTTAGCTTTGTAAAAAGAGGAGCAAATTGTTACTCATTAATTATATATATACAGTGCCACATCCGTTTGTAGTAACATTATTACTATAATTTGATACAATCAGGCCTATGTGACTCAAGAAGATACTCTAATGGCAACTCTCACAGTAAAAGAAGCTGTATACTACTCTGCTGAACTCCAACTCCCAAATTCCATGCCAAAATCAGAGAAAAAACAAATAGCAGACATGACTATGAAGGAAATGGGATTGCAGGATGCAATGGAAACAAGAATTGGAGGATGGATTGGAAAAGGAATTAGCGGAGGACAAAAAAGGAGAGTCAGTATATGCTTAGAGATTTTAACGCGCCCAAAACTTCTCTTTCTTGATGAACCAACTAGTGGACTTGATAGCGCCGCGTCTTATTATGTCATGAAAACAATTGCAAGCCAATGTCAGGGGAGAACAATTATTGCCTCAATTCATCAACCTAGCACTGAAGTTTTCAGTCTATTTCATTCTTTATGTCTTTTGTCTTCTGGAAGAACTGTCTACTTTGGCCCTGCTAGTGCAGCAATTGAGGTGAGCATATTATTTGAATTTTTTGAAATGACTAAGTTAATCAATCAATAATGAATGAGTTGCTGCTGCAGTTTTTTGCATTGAGTGGTTATCCTTGCCCGACGCTCCAGAATCCATCTGATCATTTTCTCAAAACAATTAACAGTGATTTTGATCAGGTATGAAACTAATTTTGTTGTTAGAATACTCGTATTTTTTGCCCATTGCTTAAATGAAACTTTTTGTCTAGGACATTGAAGAAGGTCCAACTAGTAGGAAATCAACAGAAGAGGTGATTAATATCCTGATAAAGTCGTATAGTGATTCTGATAAGTACAGAGCAGTTCAAAGTCAAGTTGCTGAAATCTGCAAACAGGTGAAAAAAACAAACTCTGTTTCAATTGATTATTAATAGGTGAAGGAAGCTACATGTACATATATAAATCGTTGAAATAAGAATCCCCTTATTTAAAATCCTCAAAATCGTATACAGGAAGGTGAAGTACTGGAGAAAAGAAGCCGTGCCAGCTTCACAACTCAAAGCCTTGTTTTGACAAAAAGGTCATTTGTGAACATGTCCCGTGATCTTGGTTACTACTGGCTGCGCTTAGGTGTTTATATTGTAATAGCTGTAGGTCTTGGCACTATCTACTATGATGTTGGCTTTTCTTACACTTCGATTCAGGTAAATGACATGTATTTAATTTCTTCTTGAACCTGGCGTTTTAAACTGGCCGATTAATTATTTACTCTTTAATTAATTACATGGTGAAAATAGTCAAGAGGTTCCATGCTTATGTTTGTGGCGACATTCATCACTTTTATGGCGATTGGTGGATTCTCCTCTTTTGTGGAAGAACTCAAGGTAAAATACATTTGGTGTTTCACACATTTTCTTCCTTCTTTCTTGATCTCATGATGTGCTAATTAATGTATGCTAGGTATTTCAACGAGAGAAACTAAACGGTCATTATGGTTCTGGTTCATTTGTCATTGCCAATACACTTTCTGCTCTGCCATACTTGGTATTGGTATCTTTTATCCCAGGAGCTATCGCGTATTTCCTCACTGGACTACAAGGTGGATTCGAGCATTTCATGTGCTTTGCACTAGTCCTCTTCACGTGTATGATGTTAGTTGAGAGCCTAATGATGATTGTAGCAAGCATTGTGCCTAATTTTCTCATGGGATTAATAAGTGGAGCAGGAATACAAGCACTTATGTGCTTAAGTGGAGGATTCTTTCGATTACCAAATGATTTGCCTAGGGTATTCTGGAAGTACCCTTTACACTACGTTGCATTTCATAAGTATGCTTACCAAGGGCTGTTCAAGAACGAGTTTGAAGGACTAAAAATTCATGACGAGAACATGAAAGGTTTGATCAAAGGGGAAGATATTCTGAAATATAAATGGGAAATGGATATAGATTACTCAAAGTGGGTGGATCTTGCCATTTTACTGGGGATGATAATTTTATACAGGCTATTGTTCTTGCTGTTTGTCAAGGCTGGTGAAAAGGTTAAGCCAGCTGTAAGAGCAATCATGTCTAACTCACCTAAACAAATCAATTCAGCAGAAACACCTTTGCATGAATTTTCTGCTTAATTAAATTATTTACAATATAGGTGTTCATGTTATTTACAATGTAGTTGCTTTCCTTGTATAATTTGCTAATTTCACCATGTAATAAGTCGTACCTTTTAAATTATATCTCCTATTGAAGCTAATCTACATTTAAATCAACCTTATAGCTAGCAAACTCATCATCAAGAATATGTTTCAACCCAATGATGTAATGAAGAGATCGAGAGCGTACATTAATTGTTCAATATATATATGCTTTCAAATAAGTCTTGCCTCTCTTCATCTTTATGTCTAAAAAAACCTTGGAAACTAAACCTTTTTTTTATATAACCAAAGATTAATATAGAAAATGTACATATAGCTAGAGAGAAAACATCACATAATTGTGCAACTATTTGGATTCTCATAGCTATGTTGGTAACCATAATCACCCGTTGGAGGAAAATAGGATGTTGGTGGTTCACCGTGGTACCCCAACAAAGGGGGTGGTTGTCCGCGGTGGTGCCCCATTCACATTGGCGGATGCAATGACGTAGAGTATGATCCTCATGAAAGTCATTCAAAGGGTCACGAAAATTCATTCTATAGCCCATATAAGGGCTCTGGTCCCCTCTCTGCATTCTCGAGAACCGGTCCAAGTTATCATTCCAGTAATAGTTTCTGACGTGCGATGGGGGTCGTGGTGGCTGATGACATGCCCATAACGATGGTGATATTGGTGGTGGTAATGGATCTTCGCGAAAATTATAGCTATCATGTTGACATGCTTCTACAACGTTTTCACCGTGTGGTCTTGGTGTTGGTGGACAAGGCTTGCTTCTCCGCGGACGAATCATGTCAGGGTCCATTGAAGAATGATTCCACACTCTACGGGAAGTATTACTATTATTAGTAGTCAGTATAATCACACAAGTGAGAGTTACTAACAAAGAAGGAATATTATTACCTAATGTACTTGCTGCTAATGAAAAGGTAGTGGAAGAGGGCGAATGAATGTACAAGGCTATTCAGGAAACTAGGGTTTATTATGAAATATAAAATATTAATGGAGGTTTTAAACCCTCTTTAACAGTAATACTTAGTTATAAATTTCTTACTTATTTTATTTTTTTCATTAATAGAGAACTAGGGATATTAAATACTACTGGTACTTATTCTTTTTTAAACCTGTTCTTCTTTTTCCTTTATGGTCATGTGCAATTGTGTTTGCTAATAAAAAAGAAAAAGGCGACTTCATTTGTATTTACTATTTTAACTTAAAATACACATAGGAAGGATTAAAAGGCGAATAACATTTCGTTAATAAGTGTTTTTCATACTTTTAATATAACAAATTTTAGTGTATTTGTCTCACAGGTCACAAGTGATTGTGAAATAGCAATGGACATTAAAATAGATATATACAACATTCATTTAAGAGGGACTACATGATTACCCTCTTTAACTAAGGCACTATTTTAAAAAAGACAAACTTTGCGAAGGTCCTAAACCTATTTCGTGCTTACTCCATTTTAAAAAGCAATATCCACAAATATCAAATCTTATTTTTTTAAAAATAAAAAATATGTGTCAATTAAATAGGTTCACATAATTGAATAAAGCCAATAGTACAAAAAAATGGGTAAAACTTACCCGCATCGGATGTATACATCAAGCCAATACATGCATGTCATGTGTTTAAATTTATAGTTCATTTTACTTAACCATAATTAATTAACATGTGTTTTACTTCATTAAATCATGTGATAATAAAAATTGCATTAATTTGATGTATACATCCGGTGCGGGTAAGTTTTTTCACAAAAATAGTAGATTGAAGGGGATCATGTTGACAATGAACAAGCCAATTTTTTTAATTTTCTGCATCTCTAATAACGTACAAAAAAAAGAAGCTATACATAGTAAATGCTATATATGGTACATATTATATATGGTAATATAATTAAAGAAGATTCTAAACTAATAATAATGTATATTCCACCTTCTAATCAATCAATTATAATTAAAGTTATATATGATAAATATAGATTGTACTAATTAATGGTGATTAATGATTAACAAGACGGGAGGGAAAATATCCCACATATAAGTAGAGGCAGCTATTTAATATTTGTCTGGATTGAGAAATTAACGAATGGTGAAATATAAATGAAAGCAACATATATGATTTATCAAAAGTGAGAAGATGTGGCAATTGATTGACACAACACTTTGACCAGAATAATTGTTTTTTTACTCAAGACGCGTATATTAATAGGGGTGGCAAATGAGTGGTTTGGATCGGATTTGGATGAATTTAATATGGATTGAGTTAAAATGGATTGGATCACAAGTAACCCATATAAAATATGGGTAAATATAAATTTGATCAAATATGGTTTGGATAAAATGGTTATAACCCACTTTAATTTCTTAAAGCCAAAAAATATTAAATCAAATCTAAATTGTTAATACCTCAACCCCTACCATCCCATCCTACCCCTACCACCCACCCAAAAAAATAATTCAAAAAGACTATTTCTTGTACAAAAAAAATAAATTGGCAACTCATACCCCCACCTGCCCCACCCCCAAAAAAATTTAAAATTTTTTTTTTCAGAAAAATAATAATTTTAAATTTTTTTTAAAAAAATATTATTTTTTTTTGCCAACCCTACCCCCACCCCTGTACTCCCACGTCCCCCCACCCCAAAAAAAATAAATTAAAAAAGGCTTTTTTTGATAGCACAATTTAGAATTTTGAGTAGAAGTGAGAAGTGAGTGATCTATTATGGGTCTATATGGATACTCATATTTTACCCATTTTGACCATATTTGTAGGAACTCTTAAAATAGCTTGAAGCCCATATTTACCCAATTAAAATAGAGTAATATTCACATATAGCAAACATAAAAATCATATTTATATGTTATAACTATAGTTTGCATAATTGCGCTCCATAGCAGATTTTATGCTTGCTATGGAGCTTTTGATTTGTATAATTCGTTATAAACATCCAATTTTTATACAAATTGTTCAGTTTTGTATAAATTCATTTATACTTTGTAATTTGTATAATAAGATCTGTATTTGTATAATTATAAGTGTATAAGACGAAAATGTATGTATTAGTATTTGTATATACATTTTTCTCTCGCTTTATACAAACACAAACGCATTTTATAC